ATGGTCTTAAGGAGGGAGTAATGTTACGATTCACTAATTTCTTTTCTTTAACCCCTATGTTTAGTCATCATATTCCTTCTCTCAAACTGTGAAAATGGCTTAGTCATCACAACTAGTTCAACCTAACGATGACTGGCCCAACCACACAATCAGCCTATTATATATGACTACGACATTCAAGGACAACAGGCACTATGGACACAGAAGGATACAATAAGTAGGAAGTATTATTAGTACATATGAAACAGTATTTAAGACCTACAGCTCTCGCTGGTATACCCCAGCTTCGAGCTAAAGTTTATATTCATACCATTCTATCCTCAAGCCATATCATAGCCTTGTGACACACTGAACCAAAGACACACTTAAGTGGATTCAGGTGATCCCTCGAAGTGCGAAGGGACGCTTGTCTATCATGTGTCTAGGATCACATGATGCTTGGGCTTAACATTAGTCTTCTTTATTCCTTCTATCATTTCATCAACTACTTTTTTAGCTCAGGTCTTGTGGACCCAGTTCCTAAGCATGGCTCTTGCTGTGGCTTCATCCTTTGCATTCTTGATGGCTCACCAAGTCTATTTGGTGTTGAATGGTTTTAGCCAGCCAATGGGGCTCTCTGCCCCTGTTCAGCCTGTAGGTGGTTGAGTTTGTTCTTTCAGCAATTCTTGTTGTTGAGTGGTGAAGTTGGGTATATTCAAATGCATGCATAATTTAGATATACAGTTGACTATCTCACAATGCATATGGTCAGGAGACACCAAAACCATATGCATTTATAGATTTATGCAGAACCAAAATGGCATGTGATGTGACATGTGACTTTATGTGACAATGTCATCATTGCCCCAAAATGCTGTCAGTGGCTTTTGGGTCAGCTTTCCATGCATCTCCTTGAATAATGCCCCTCTCAACTTCCTCAGCTGTGGTACTAATTCACCCTGGTCACCTTGTGAAACACAAAATGCCTCCAGCTTTTGAATAAGCTCAAATCCTTCTCTTGTAGTTATCAAGGTCTGTTCTTCTTCACCCTCTTCTTTCTCTTCTTCCTTCTTATCATCAGCAATGACAGTTATTTCCCCATTTTCTACTGCAATATCATGCTTGACAGCAGCAACAATCTTCTCATCTGTTGGTATCACCTCAAGATCTTCAGTATACTCTTCTGCAATAGAGTTAACCATCTCTTCAATGGTTGGAATGGGACCAAACATGCAATTTTGTTGTTTCAATTCAACAAGATGGTCCTTCAACATTCTCTCTGCTGTCTGAAGCTGTTGAATGGGGGCAATTTGAGTGGGAGGTGTGTTCATTTTTGACTGTGACAAAGAACCAACTGATTGACTGCCTCCAGTGCTTTACCAACATCATTCTCTGCATTCATAATAGCCATAAGAGCAGGATGCCAGTCAGCATCAGCATATTGGTTTCCAAGCAGATTCTGCAATGCCTGTTCAATCCCTGGAAGCATGTATTTGTCTGTTGAGGCAAAGTCATGAACAAGGTTCCATGCAGACTTGAGGAGTGAGACATCTTGGAAATCATTGGATGGTGTGGTAGACTGTGACTCAGATGCATTGTCAGGCATTATACTGGTGTGTTTCCAGCAGTTTGCTATCATTTCACTGCTGACATTTGCCAAAGCATCATGAGCAATAGTCATAGCTTCAAGGAGATCAAGCTTGAAGATCTCAGACTCTCCAAGATCATCAAGATCAAGTGCATGGATACACATGGCATTCTGATAATGTGCCTTGAAGCAGTGGATAATACCAGCATCTAGTGGCTGAACATATGGAGTCATATTGGGCTCAAAGAACTCCAGCTTTGTGTTATAGAGTGTATAAGCAATGGAATGCCCTTGAAAGTTGTCCAAGGTCAGCAGAACCTGCTGCATCTCCCTCTTCATCTTTAAATCAAACATCTTCACCCACTCCATAAATATTTCGCTCATCATCCAGGCCTTCTTGTTATTCTGATAATAGAATCCCATTGCTGTTAGACTCTTTTTCTTGAAACACCATGGTTGCTTTGACTTGCCAATGAAAACAACTGGCATCTGCTCACTCTCATCTGCATTCACAGCAAAACACATGGTGATGTGAAACTTGTCCTGTTTTTGTCCACTCATAGGACCAGATGCCAAGGTACAATCTGGGATGGCAAAGATGACAAGACCAGATTCATCAATATTCCATCTGTCCTGCATTGCATATTTCACTATAATGCTGTGAAGATGCACATGTTCTTTTTCCACTGCCATCATATCCACTGAGCCTGCTTCTCCATGCTGCTGAACCTCCTGAATCTTTCATGCCTTGCAGAATGACCTCAACCATCCCTCTCCTTTCAAACACTGATC